AGTCAGTAAGAGTCTGACACTCCCTTCCGCCTCACCCAGGCGGGAGCAGTCATTCGATGATTTTCCCCCCTTAAAAAAAAGATTGTCTGGTAGAAATCACTATAAGTGATAAGACCGCCTTTGTGTCCATTATTATATTTTTATTTATATTGTCATTTCCTTTTCTGTATGTACTATATTATTAATGGTGTACAATAAAGTTTATTCTATTCTATTCTATTCTAATAGAACGAAACAGTAATCAATTACAGGTTACATTAACTTCTTAAAAACAGTACTTATTTCAAATTATTTAAAATACGAATCTAATAATCATATTGAATTTAACTACCACTTCTACATCAAAATTAAATTAAATTACCACCAAAAAAATACACCGAACCCGTAACCGCGCAAACAGTGATCACAAGTTTATACGTCCCCCTATCGGAATGCGCCGGTCGTTCCGGCCGACCGGACCGGAAGTCCGCACACGGCCCGCTTCCGTCACGTCACACCGGTCACCCACGGTCGGAGCTTTCGAGCTTTTTTGTTAGACATGTGACAAACAGTGTAATTAATGTCAAATCAAGTGTAATGATATTGTAATGGCGGGTTATGTGTGTGCGATGGTTGAGTATAAAGGTGGCTTTTAATTTTGCATGGTTGAGTCTTGTGTCAAATTTTAATAAAGATACATAAAATTATTGATCATAATTAAAATTATTTATATATATACGGTCTAATTTTTTTTATGGCATTAGCCGGTAAACGAGCAGACGGGTCACCTGATGGTAAGCAATCGTCGCCCATGGATACCTGGAACACCAGAGGTATTTCAAGTGCGTTACCGGACTTTTGGGGATTAGGAGTTGAGGATCGCTGGGCATTCAGGGATTGGGGAGATATGGGAAGGGGAAGGGGTAATTGGACCTCCTTTAACCTCACTCACACGACGAAACACAACGCACGCGTTGCTTCACGTTTCACTGCGGTGAAACGACGCAACGCCTGCCGGCCCATTCGTGCTTAAGGATAGCTCTCCCACACTAAGACACGCTTGCAAAAAATACAACCTTCCGCATCAGTTATTAGATCACAAATTAACTTAATTCAAACACGACAGTAAATAGAAATCCTTCCTTTATTATCTACTCATAGTCAATAATCCCCCCCTCACTAGCAATCATTAATCGCTCCCGAAATCTAATAAACGACGAGATAAAGGAATCCGTGTTCAATACATACGGCTACACACCAACCTATACAAACCAGTATAAACAGACCTTTAAATCTGCAGGAAGATGTTACTAAGGCGGATCATGATAAGCGGGTTATGTATAGCTTGATGGTGTGTACAATAAATAACATGAAAGACATTTAATTAATATTTATGGCCGCTGAGCGTCCGGCAGGACTTTATTGAATCAAATCATTGTCTGTTCACGATTCTCTTCACGATAAACGGTAATGTGTTTCTTTGTTAGTATTTTGTGGAGTTACTGTTTTAAATTGTTGTTTGTTTCTTATAGGGGTAAGCAGAGAGGGTATCTAGCACAATAGCAGACTTAAATGTTGCAAAACATTTTAGAATATCATGAAGGAAATAAAGGACTCCATTCTAATAAATAGTCTGGTGTTCTATGACTACCACCTCAATAGAACTTTTAAAATATTATTCGTAATTGCACCTATATTCAGGCTCTATATTGAAACCTCACGTTTGTATAAAATATTAATCATCAGAATTTTCTTAATAACTTACTCAATTATTACATCAACAAAATATAAATAGACATAACATAACATCACGCCTTTTACCACTAGGCTAACGAGGCAGACAGTATAAATGAAAACTGAAATATTTCTTTGAGTCTAACCAGTCCTAAGTATAAGAACACCATTCTTATTCAAGCAATTTGGACGCCATATTGATTTAGCATGGCCAGTATTCTAGGAACAATTTAGCGTTTAATAATAATTAATATTCAAGACTTTGTAATCTCTAATCGTTCCCATGACAGGATAGAACGACTACGACAAGGAACATAATTTCGAAAAGTCGGAATCGCAGATCAATTGTGTCGGTGACTGGAAAGCGCAGGTAGCATAAATTAAGGGCAGATTAATACTAATAAAGAATATAAGAAGTGTAGGATGTACACACGGCCACACATCAATCTATACAATACCAGTTTATCCTGGTGTCACGTCGCATCATCTTTCCGCACATTTAACGTTATACTGGTTGGAATGTCGTGGTGGCCCGGAGGTTTAAGACGCCCACTTCTCATGCATGAGGGTGCGGGTTCGAAACCTACCAACGGCAAGTACCAATGTGACTTTTTCCGAGTTATATGTACTTTCTAAGATTATTTAGATACCACTGACAAACGGTGAAGGAAAAACATCGTGAAGAAACCTGGACTCATAATTTCTAATTATAAGTTTGAAATCGCCAACCCGCATTGAGCAAGCGTGGTGATTAACGCTTTAACCTTCTCCGTGTGAGAAGAGGCTTTGCTCAGCAGTGGGCATTTATAGGCTGTTGATGATGATGATGATTATACCGGTTATGTAAAGCTCGATGTGTAGCCATGTGTACGATTTCATACATAGGTTGGTCTCTGGTTCAGAAAATAGTAATGACTTATCTTATAACTATTATAAATTGAAGTATTTGTGAGTTGGTGTGTTTGTGTGTATGTTTGTTTGTTACTCAATCACGTCAAAACGGCTGAAGGGATCGAGATGAAATTTAGAACAGTTATAGATTATAGTCTGGAATAACACAGGGTAGGTACTTTTTATCCCGCGGATTTTTTTTATGGCATGAGCCGGTAAACGAGCCGACGGATCACCTGATGGTAAGCAATCGGCGTCGCCCATGGACACCTGGAACACCAGAGGCGTTACAAGTGCGTTGCGGCCTTTTGGGGATAAGGATTTTGAGGATCGTTGGGGATTCAGGAATTGGGGAGATTAGGGAAGGGGAGGGTAATTGGGCCTCCGGTAACTTCACTCACACGACGAAATACAACGCAAGCGTTGCGTCGCGTCGGTGTTCTGTGAGGCCGTGGTATCACTCCTGTCGAGCTGGCCCATTCGTGCCGAAGCATGGCTCTCTTACACTTCAATTATTATTATTCGAATTGTAGTAGCTGTTGGTTTTCCTTCCAAAAAATAAATGAGTATAATATTATCTACAAGTAAGTGGATGTTGATGTGATGTAAATTAGGTTTTATAATAAATACTCGTACACCAAACAGTTACTATGACTTAGTTTTAGAAGTCTATTCAACAATACTTAAATTATGAATAAAACAAAGCTTGTTTTAATCCAATTTGCTAAGCGAAGGGCATCCAGACAACGCCACATCTTCGACTCCCAATTTAGTATTTCGAGAATGCTTAATAATAGAAAGTGAAACGATACCTTGACGTTGAGTTTCGCAAGAACTAAGTACTCAACAATTAATACAAGTTTAACTATGAGAATTCTTGGCCTGTTTAACTGAGAAACTCCGAGACTCATTTATATTTAATTTACTCCGAGATAGACTCGACTGAACGTTTTATAAGCAATTGTTTCGTAGGAACTTTTAGTTTGCTTCCTTGTTTGTTATAGATAGTAGAGTTAAATTTAGTTTATTTTGTTTTATTGCTATTTCCGTCTTTGAGAATAGATGCATTCCAATAAGTAATACAGATAGAGACCTCATGATCAAGGTACCTTATGCTTTGGATCCTTCGTGCTCATGTATAGTCTCACTCACTTGATCAAAAGTTACTTTTTTATACTCACACTAAAATTTTCTCCTGTATCGTAGATGTGTTAACACACATACAATTTCACATACACATGACAGCCAGACTCAAAACAACAATCTGTGGATCACACAAAGAGTTGTTCCATGCGGAAATCGAACCCGCGACACATTTCGCGGCAGCTAGTTGCTCAGCCACTGCGCCAAACGTGCAGTCTAACTAAAGTTACTTAATCATATTTTCATCAATATTATTTTTATTCTTGAACCATTCGTCTAAAGAAACAACAAGTCCATTCCTCCACTCCGCGTTTTCATCACGATATTTTTAACCCCGTCAACAAAGCAACCCCATGCAATTTTAACTCACGAACTCCAAAATGGACGAACAAATTCAAATCGCGACTGTAGACTGAAGATAAAATTAACGCAAAGGTCTTAACTCACTTAGAAATGTTATACAACCAGCGTACATTATTCGCATACTAAGTTTGCTATGTAAATGAATGTAAGGCGATGGGTAGCTGGTAGCGATAGCAGACGGAAGAGGCCTAGAAGAAGCTTCGTTGTAGTTGTGACATACGGTTGATTAAAAATTGAGGTGATTTTTGTAAAGTGATTTTTTTAGTTGTTTTTTGAAGTGGTTATTTGTTGATAATTGGTTATTTGGTTTTAGAATGGTGTCCGTCTATAGTAGAGGTAGTGTAATGAGATATGATAATATTATATCTAAGTGATTTTTAATAAATCTTTTGGTAGTCATAGGTAAATCACCTACTCGCAGTGTTGCGGAAATTTATATACAGATATAATAAGTACTTAGTATGCTCAAGCGCCGAGAATTTTGCTTTAGTTTTTTATTTAAATAATTACATTTTAATAATTTCCTAAAAGTCATTAAGAGATGAATTCCAACACTACTAATTAATAAAAAATAAACTTAAAACAAGAACACTTAAAGAACATAATCGCACACCTACGTGAAGTATTAGAATAAATTACTCAATAACTACACAATACCAAGTGCTTCCGATATGGTCTGCTTGCTACCGGACGCCAGTTGGCTGCGTCGGTTAGTTACCAACCCGGGTTCGAACCCCACACACGTTGGGAGCGGTTTTAAACTTTACGCGCGTTTAGTTCGAAACTTTTTAAACTTTTACGAAGTTTGTAATATATTCCCTTTAGCGTATATAAAGATTGTTGTTTTATAAGCGGTTTAAACTGGTTTTATTTTCTGGTCGCTTGCAAGGCGCATACGCAGTGATATATTGGTTTGGTGTTTGGACAAACATTTGGCTTTTGCCGGGATAATGTGGTGGTTACTTAAGTTTTCTATCGTTTTGCAATGTAAGTATATTGTTCTTGCTCTTTTTTTAAATTATGTACTTTCTTTTTTTATTTTTTTTTATTTTATCATTGCTTTGCTTTGGTGTACGTATGTTATGATTTTTTTACTTTGCTTTAACATCGCGTCAGCTGATACCAGTATTTATAAGTTCTTCCTAGTTACAACATGAAACTAAAATGATTATAACATTATTATAAAATTGAAATCAAGAAAAACTTTATTACCGTAGTATAAGGAAGTTATAGAAAACTGTATACATTCTTTTATGCAACTGAAGTAATGAAATATTAGATATTACTAGTCTGAAATTCTTTACGAAATACCACATACAATTCTATTCATAATTAAACATACATATAATAGGATAGGCACGATTCAAATACAGATTACCTGCTTTGTGCTTCTGCTAAAACATTTTTATTTTTATTTTCGTCCAGTTAAAGGTTTTGCGATATATTTTTATTATTTCAAATGCCGAATGCATTACGTTAGATGCGTTTCTAGGTTTCTAACCTATTTGTTCTACTAGTGATGTACAGATACATTCTGCACCTAACTGTACCACGATAGTAAACAAATATCGGTTCGCTGATCCGAAGGATCGATATATTGTCGAAGCCATTGCTCCTCTATGAACAGAATCGATCAAATATCGAGTTCTTTACAATTCGAATGGAATGGGTGTGCTCGTACTGCGGAAGTTTCCTGTTACAGTGGTAGGAACATTGGGTTTTTATTGAAGTTTTGTTGCTTATTTCCTATACATTTTTTATTTACAAAAATTGAATCGTGCCTGGTATATGGCAATAGCCGCACCCCCTATTACATGGGACTCGTAACATAAATAGTGAAAAGTGGATATAACATTGTACAGTGGTATTAAATCCCGTCATGTGCCTCTGCCTACCCCTTCGGTGATAAAAGGCGTCTTGTTATGTAGTACAATAAACATGTATATATGTATATAACCTTCAGCTGTAACAGGTGGAAGCCATAACTTCTAGTTGCAATCGGATGTGCGTTTCTTTTAGTGCGTATAAGTATAATAGATAACATTACTTGGAAAACCGAATTCGTTTTTGTTATAGAATGATAACAAAAACGAATTCGGAATTTTTTTCTACACACTAGTTCTAATTTTAGGTTACATGCATTAACATAACATAATATCACGCCCTTTATCCCCGAAGGAGTAGGCAGAGGTGTACATTACGGCACCTTACGCCACTGTACAATGTTATATCCACTTTTCACTATTTATGTTATGAGTCCCATGTAATAGGGGGTGAGCCTATTGCAATATACCGGCCACAACTCCAGACTCCATGCTACCACTTAGATTTTTTTTTACAACCTAGTAGTACATACGTTGCCCGACCTGGGAAACGAACCCCAGACCCCTTGTCTGGCAGTCGCTATTTAAAACTATTTGAAGAAGTTTCATAAAAAAAAAACATGAACGAAAGGAGATCTAACTAAAGGAATTCATAATAGCAATATTATCTTGTTGCAACAAAGACATAGTAAAATGAACATTAAACTTTACTAAAATAGGACTCAAACCTCTTTGTAGAATAGAACAGACATCACAGAGAATAGTAAAGTAGGCCTAGACTCGAAGGTTAGGGTTAATGTAATAACTAAATTATTAACTCTGAACACAATGAACACTAATTGGTTCCTACATTTATCAAATTATTCACTAAACCCATTATAGTTGTAAACTAATTAGCGAATTTGTTTTAAATTAAGAAATTATTTCAAACATAACATAACATAACATAACATCACGCCTTTTATCCCCGAAGGGGTAGGCAGAGGTGCACATAGAAGTAACACCCACTTTTCACTATTTATGTTATGAGTCCCATGTAATAGGGGGTGAGCCTATTGCCATATACCGGGCACATTTCCAGACTCCGTGCTACTACTGAGATTTTTAAAAAAACCCAGTAATACTTTGCCCGACCCGGGAATCGAACCCGAGACCCCTTGCCCGGCAGTCGCACTTGCGACAACTCGGCCAACGAGGCAGTCAATTATTTCAAACAACGTTACATAATGGAACACCCATTTATGTCATTATTTTATGAGTTTAAACTGTCAAACACCGCGAGGACACCGGTGACCGCAACCAAAGAACAATAGTTCTTTAACTATAATGACGCTACTTAAAGGGTTTAAGGGTTTGTTTCACTTGACTCGCCGCCCAACCAGAACCTGGCCCGAGCGTACGTCGCGTCGCGTTCCACGCGCGCCTCAATAGGGCCTAACAGGGCTGATGGCGATACCGAGCCGCGGAAGACTTAACGGGTTGCCGGGGCTCCGGCTCTAAGTGCAGGAGTAGGAACGGGGTGGTTTTAAGTCAGTAAAAGTCTGACACTCCCTCTCGCCTCACCCGGGCGGGAGAAGTCATTGGATGATTTTCCCCCCTCAAAAAAAAGGGCCTGTTTCACTATATCTGGATAGCCGATATCTACCAGATAAATTTGAGGGCATTACAATAAAAATTAGTCATCTACCCTAACAAACCATCTATTTGAGGCTTGCCATCTTGCTGTGGACAACCTAGCGTGGTACTAGGGCTCTACCTCGAAGCAGGAGTAAGAACGGGGTGGTTTTTAGTCAGTAACAGTCTGACACTCCCTCTCGCCTCACCCAGGCGGGTGAAGTCATTGAATGATCCCCTCCCCCCCCCCCAAACTAGTTACAATCTCGCATATTATAAATTTATAATAATGGACAGAATGTATTAGAAAACCTTTCCATACACAATAATTACGATAAAAAACACACAGGGAATCTGAAACCTCAGTTGTACTAATTAAAGTACCAATTAACACTAATGACTAAATTAAACCTGCTTGTAAAACCGACGCCCATAAGAGGTGAACCACAACAGTTTGAACTCTGACGTTGACCCTTAAATTTATCGATCCATCGAAGCCTAATAGCGATAAAGAGTAAATTATTGGTGATGTAATTAATTACGTTAGAAAAAAGTAAATTACAATCAAATAGAAAAAGTCTCATATCGTCTCTGTCTCATATCATTTACCATCTCCGAACAATTAGTCAAGATTAGTAAATGTAATTAATTCTGATATTGGGTTGATAATACTAATTCCCTTATTATGTTGACGTTCAAAAGTGCCATTCTGGCCTAATTGAAATAAATGATTTTGACTTTGACTTTGACTTTGACTTTATCTGGAAAACAAGTCCATTACTAGAACAATAATAATTATAGCTGTATCTTTGAAGTTTAACAAAAAAATTAATACTAATTTAATATATTTAAGTGCCTACACTGCTAACAAATACATTTTAGGTCAGCAACACTAACTAAAACAAATAAAAGCTCATATTGTTTGTCTTATTACCGAATACAGATGATAGATAAACACACAAAGCTTCAATAAAACTTGCACAGATAATACAAAATAAACACAATTTGTAATGAAAATTCCAATACTACATCAATATTTATCAAAACTTTTAATAAACCAAAAAAATATTGTTCTGAATCTAGATTTCATTCGCAGTTATCGAAGTAATATAAAATTCAAATGTGGAACGAAATAGGAAGCGCCAATTATCGAATGTATTATTCATTGCCAGTGCAGTCGTGTCGTCCACGCCGTGTCATGATATGACAACTATTTAATTTCAAATACGGAACGCAGAATTATGTGCTGCCAGTATTCTAAGTTTAAATAATAAAAAGGTTTTAGTCGAACGATTAAATATGAATGGCTACTTGGTAGGTGTTTATGGAGCAATTATTTTAATTACTTACCAGTATTATACCTATTTTTACCTAATGTATGTAGTGCAATGATGGTACATAATGCATATTCGTTATTTTTCATACGTGAAAAGAAGTTATAAAACTATGTCATTTCTAATTTAAACGCGTATTCTATTTCAAGACCCAAATTAAAAAAAAAACTCACCAACTCTGTATTATTTGAAAATTTTCAAGTCATACGGCATTCCAATAACTAAACGTTTTTGACGTAAACAAAGCTGTCATTTTGACATTTGAGTGATGAGTAAAGTATTGTTAATGCGAGCCTATGAAAGGAAGCAATTCTTTACTTATTTAGTGAACAATATGAGGTATTTTGTCCAATCATCGGCCCCTATTTACTACAATAATACTTTATCGTTTGTTTAATAAAATTACACTGACTTTTATGGCCATGTTTATTAAGATTAATTCGAATTTCATTGGTGTCGTCTGTCATGCTTATTGTCCTTTTTTAATCGTTTTTCTTTCTTTTAATTTACTGTACTTAGAGTTTTATTTGGATTTATGATAAGAATAAAAAATTCAATACGTAAATCTTTTGACTACCTTTTATTACATTTTGATACATTTTCCTCATTTTATCTAGCCTCATCTCGAGTTGCTTTACTACTTTTTCTATATTTATTAATTCAACCAGGAAAAACAAAATCTAAATTCAATTAAAACATCTAAATCCTTTTAAGTGAAACATTGCAAAATAAGAATAAAACATTCCTTATTCTCCCAATCTCCACAAAGAATGCGCCAGTCGACGTTGGAGCACGCATTAATTTATTCATTTTGTTTCGCAATCAAAGCGTAGGGAGAGGAAATTGCGATTAAGACGTTGACTTAAAGTCTTATACACACCATGCAACAAATGGGGCCCACGAATTTTTATTTAACAGATGGCGCCAACATAGGAACAGGTTCCTAGGTATAACCTGGGAGTCTTCAAGGCCCGCGTGAATAGGTTGTTTATGGGACAACGTGCTCCACCAGGCGAGATAGTGGTCAAACGTCGGCCCAAATGTTTTTTTGTCCAATCACTGCAGCTGTCAAATATTGAACGTCCAATGGTGTACCACTAGCTAATTCCCTATTGGAAGAAAAACGAGGGGTTCAGACTAGCGCCATCTGCTAATTAAAAATACAGTAGGCCACATTGATGCGCAATATGCCCTCTGTATATTGCTTGTTGTTTCG